ATAAATCAGGATAAAAAAATATGATTTGATCTCTGTATTCCCTAAAACATGTCCCTAATGGCACTATTATGTATTTAATAATTTTTATTAATAGAATATTTTAGATCTTATATTGAATCTATAACTCCTTTAAGTGATTTGTTTATTCTTCCAAATGGGATTTTTTGCTTTTCTATATGTCCTATTATATGGCACTCTATTTTATGCTGCACAAGATTTTAGGTTGCCTTGTGGAGAAAACAAACAAACAAAAATACAAAATTCCCCAAATCCAGTGAAATCAATGTCTCAGGTTTAAAGATATGTGTATGTATATGTCTACTGTATGTCTATGTCTATCTACATTTACAGTATCTATAATAAGTACAAATTCTGTTAAATAACTTTGTTTAAAACAGTTTTAATGTTTAATAAATCCCAAAAATATTCTTCTATTTTTATTGATATTACATATTTTATTATGGGGATATATAAAATATTACATATTTTATAAAGGGCAGCAATTGTTTGTAGCAGGTGCATTTACAGGTTGTTGTTTTTTAAATAAGTAGCCTAGGGCAGGGGTCCCCAACCACCGGTCCGCGGACCGGTACCGGTCCGTGGAACAAATCCTACCGGGCCGCTGGTTTGCTGGGCGCCGCCATCTTGTTTTGATGAAAAAGTGCTTCCAGTGAGCTTTCTACCCGGAAAAGCTCACCGGAAGCACTTTTTCATCAAAACAAGATGGCGGCGCCCAGCTGATGCCGGTACCGGGCCGCGGCATAAAAAAGGTTGGGGACCACTGGCCTAGGGTTTTCAGTTAACCACTGTCTTAATGTATACAAAAGAATGAAAGTATAGAAACAACTTATAATCTTTTATTTGCTTTTCTTTCGTGAAACAATATACTTCAGTTTGGTTTTCCTTTATGATATAATGAGTCCTATTTTACTGTATTTTCCTTCCTTTGAGCTGTAAATGATATATAATCCAGAAATATGTAATAAACAAGATTAAAATGTCCATTTCCTATCTCTGAAGTGATAAGTATGCTTGTTACCTTAATAGTATTTAGGGATTATTCTGATCCAATAATTCTTACCTGGAAAAATCAGTTCTGTAACTTGCAGGTTTCTGAACCACTCTGCCTTGAGAAGTCAGAGGCTCTAAGCTTGAAGATAAGGAAAATGAGTAGGACCTGAGGATCGCACTTTGTCATCCTTTGGTGGTATTTACAAAGTCTAGGACTTTGGGTCTGTTGATAAAGTTCTGACTCCTAATCTTGTTCCTGGAAATTCCTATGGGTATTTCATTTCTATCTATTTTATCTTGGAATTAGATCCTGTATTTTATTTTTATTTGATCTGATATGGCCACAACGATCAATTAATAATTACTACTAATACTGAGGAGATGAGAGCTGCTTCCCTGGACTTTGCTATAAGCATTTTGTGTAACTCCTAACTGTGCCCCTGCCAGTCTTGACAACTACAATTTAGGCTCTGGATATTTGTGGGACCACATTCCCTCAACAGCTTCTGCTAATCCAGTAAGAATGATGAATGACTTCTGAAGTACTATCCTTCCCATATCAGGCACACAAGGGCATGTTTTTTCTGTAGCTATTCCTCTCCTTTGAAGCAAAGTCCCACCCAAGGTCAACTCGCACCATCTCTGCTGGCACTCAGGAAAGCCTCTTCTTTCTCTGAACATTGGTAGTCTGGGAGGTGATCACTGCTACTAAATTCTATGGAATCCTGGCAATATTTGGTGGTGTCTCAATGACTATTGTTTCTGTAGTTTAGACTGTTTTTTTTAAAAAATATTCTATTTTATTGTATCGTTTTGCATCATTTTAGGGGTCTTTTTGAAACTGGAACATATATTTTAAGATTTTTATTTAATCATGGCCACTGAAAAGAAAGGCTACACTATATACAGAGCACTTGGCAAGATGCCCTTCATGACCACAATTATCTCCATAAAGAATTATTGCCTGTAGTTCAGTATTCTACAACTATATCAACACAGGGTGGTAATAGGGCCAATTGATATTTTAAAACTTTAATATAAACAAGTTCAGATTTGTTTGTACTGAAAGATAGTGTGTAGGAACAGATACAATATTCTACCAGTAAATGAGTCACAGCTGTGTATTTTTAGATTTCTTCTATGTCACTCCAGAGATTAGGTAAAGTGTTGCTCTTCAAAAAAAAATCAATGCTATAGGAACAAAACAAATAAAAACATATCTTGATGGCTATCTTTCTATTCCCTGTACTATATAAGGCACCTTTCTTTCCTTGCCAAACCATGAATTCATTTCCTTCCTCTGTGTTTCTATTTAATTCCCATTTTGTCTGACTTGCTGCTGAAAATTGATGGTCTGCTAATCCTCTGCTGAATTCCTTCATTCTTTGGTTTCATTCCTCTGACTACAAAATGGAAATAACCATCTCATTTCAATCTACATTAAAGCTTCCAGAAAACAACAGTATACAAATGTTCAACACTGCAACAGTATACTGTTTTCTAAACAGTCAATGGTGCTTTAGAAAATATAACATTCATGTAGCAGTTGTTAAGGTAATCAATTAAAAAACATTTTGATCAATTAGAAAAGCTTGGAATATCCGGGAGACTATGAGTTTAAGCCTTCTAGTAGGCATGGAAGCCAGTTGGGTAACTTGGGCCAATCATATTCTCCCAGCCCAATCTATCTCACAAAGTTGTTGTTGTATGGAACAAAGAAAAAGGAACATTATTACTTTGAACTACACAAAATAAAGACATAATAAGTATTTACTTATTTAATAAGTAAATACATTTTTTCTTTCATTAACTGGAAATTATTTTCTGAAGCATTGCTTTTAACAAAAAAGCTACAAATGGCCTTCTACCATGTTCCTGGATGGCTTAACCATGAGTCAGAAACATCTTCTCTATATGGGGTGATGAATTTCTCTTCTGAAGCATCCCAACTAATAAAGCTCCAAATATTTCCTCTATATTTATGCCAAGCCACATTTTTCAATTATTTGCTTTGTTTCTAAAATTTGCTTTTTATGTCTCCCAAGTCCATCCAGGTTTTGCATGCTTGAATTAACACTGTGACTAAAGGAATTCCACATTGATCAACATCTTGATACACGGTCCCTTTATGGCAGACTTTTTCACTTTTAGCAGTTTTTTGTTAATTGGGATACTTTTTTGTGTGTGAAAATCAGTTTTCCTTACCACTGAATATCACAAAGAGTTCATTCAGCAGGGAAACTGCCGCTCCATTGCCACCTTAGCTTTATCTCCTATTGCTGAACATGGTGGCTTTCTTAACCATCTGGCAGGACTGGGCATTGGTGGCAGTATTTTACAAGGATTCTGGTTTTTCCTGTGGGATCATGTCTCAAAAATATTGTTAGGGAATTACTGTTCAGCACCTTAGCCTCTGCTGTCTCATTAGGATTCCACCTTTTCTTTAGGCAATACCATAGTTAAACAAAAATTGCTGGCAGAGATCATTTAACCAGGCATGAAAGAAGGTGGGAGATCTCACCGTCCAGACTTCCAAGAGGAATTTAGCTTTCCAGGCCTAGCATCCTGATAGAAGAGGCACTACAATAATTGCCTCACTTGTAAGACATTAACCAACCTAAATGCCATGATTATTGCAAAGTGATCTAGTGGCACTCCACATTCTCAATCTTTGCAAAAGGATGTGTTTGGGAATGCAAAGCAGAATGTGCAAAGTACTTTGTTTTGAAGGAAGTGGATATTTTGAGTGCTTTGGAAGCTCAGTTTGGTTGCCTCTGTCTTTGTTTGTAGACGCTTCTGGAGCAGCACAAACCTTAGAAAGACATGGCTGCTTTAATTATTCAAAAGATGCTTCCTCACATCCTAAAGCAGCTTTTTCTAATATACTGCAACTATGCAGAGTTAACCTAAAACTGAATTCTCTTTGACTTGCTGCCTGAGGTTCAAGATATATTTTCTAACTATAAAGATTATGACTGTGTTCAAGCATGGAGCTAAGCTATATATTTTGCTTAAACATGGTTCATTGAATAATGCACAATTTATGAATTTACATATAACCTCAAATTGTAATATAAATCATAATCTATGTAGGGCTTCAGATAACCCCATATCTATAGAAGGCTTCAGATAACCCCATTTGGAATAGTGTGTCCAGTTCTGGAGATCTCATTTATAAAAAGATATTGATAACATTAAGTGAGTCCAAAGATGGGCCACAAAAATGGTGCAAGATCTGAGGGAGAAAACATATCAAGAGAGATTGTGAATAAGTAACAGCTCAGAGGACAAAAGAGAAGTGGGAGACATGATTGAAAACTTTAAATATATTAAGGGTACGTATGAGTAACATTCTAGAGGCTGTACAATATTAAGCAAAAATCAAGAACATGGAAGCATAACCTCAAACTGTCAGGAAGAAAGTTCAGAAGTAATGTTAGAAAGTATTACTTTACAAAAAGGATAGTGGAAGCTTAGAACAAACTTCCAGCAGGGATAGTGGGTCAGTCATCAGTAACTGAGTTTAAATATGCTTGGGATAAACACATACTTATCATCCAACAAAAATAAAATCATAAAAATCATAAAATCATAGTAATAAAAAACTTCAAAGTGCAGACTCAATGGACCACTAGGTCTTTTTTTGCTGTCAGTTTTCTATGTTTCTATAAATGACAATGCAAATGAACAACAATGACTTGCACCGAGAACATGTTAACTGAATAAATGATAAACCTCCTAAGGGGTTATATAAAGGGATACATGAATCCCATCACTGTCTTTCTCATCTCCACTGGAGTAGAAGTCAAGGAGAGGAAGGCTATTTAAGGTGAAAGAAAACATTCACAAATAGACGTTTTTGATCTATTTTCCAGTCAAACTCCCATCCTGCTGTTTTTAGTGGAAGAAAAAAGTTTGGCCTTAGCCACGGACTAAATTGGTTGCAAATCAAGAGATAACAGAAAATAAAACTTATCGAAGAACCTTACCTGTTCTGCTGTCCATTGGTCCAAAATCCAATGAATATTTAACCACATGGTAGTTGTTCCATACATAAAGAAGGTTATCCCTTGGATTATAATCCACTGCAGCAATATACTGATATGAATTTGGAAATGGAACATCCACTACATTTTCCTTGCTTTGTTCAGTGTTGTATATATAGTCAATTTTATTTCCTGTAGCTTCATTATCATCGTCTTCATACACAGATTTCACTACATATAAAATGCCACAGATCATGAATGCATTAGAAGCTGACCTTTTGTCATAGGATGTATCCCATGTCCCTTCAATCCTCAAGGTATAAGGGTTTAGCTGACTAATGACTATTTTACCATTATTTTGTTCTGTTGCATAGATCACCCAAAGACCGTTCTCATCAACAGCCAGGTCTATATCAGATTTGCCTCCCCATCTATAAGGGGATGTATCGTGATAGTTGGCATTAGCGATGATAGCTTCCCCACTTTTTATTCTTGTCCGTAGATCAAATTTGACAATGTTCCTTGTTCTTTCTTTGTTGAAGAATAAAGCCCCATCATACACCACAAACCCTGTGCCATCCACTCTGTGTGGGAGCTTGTACGTTGTTGTTGGCCTTCCAGCAATGAAATCATCTTTGGAAGAATATTCTGTCAGAGTGTCAGTTCTGTATGGTGTCCACGGCATGTAGTAAATCTTGTCAGAAGCCTGCAGTGGATCCTTACACCAGGCTCCTGACTGGTGATCAGATTCAAATAAATGTTCACTCTGGTATACTCCTTTTAGTAGTCCAGGGCAAAGAAAAACTGAAGGGAAGGAAGAGGTTAAAAGTAAAATTGATTATTAAATGTGATAGAAGACTTTTCTTGGCACTTAGACATTTATAACTCAAGTTCCAGGAGAAGAACTAAAAATATCAATCTTCTCCTAACTCTAAAAATACATAAATGGTGCTCTGCACTAAAAAGGTTACAAGGGGAAATTTATAGGGATTATAATTTTTAACTTTGACATGACATATACAACATATATTGCTATAAAACCAAAAAAGCAACTAAAAAGACATTTAAACTCTATTTCAGAGAAATCATTCTTATGGTGTGCAGTTTAAATATTAAAAAGGGCTGGGGAATTGCCACATAAATACATTTGGAATGAATCCATAGCAAATAATAAACAATTAAAAGAATGTGTCCTGAGGAAGGAAAAAAAAACAGTAGCAATAAAAAGCAAAAAGCAAAATGCAATACAGGAAGACTAAGTTAAAGCATTAAAATGTCCTCTGAAATACATAAAAATAAAAACATTACTTAAGCAAATTCATAACTGCCAAGACTGACCTGCTGAGATGTTCCATTCCACAAATCTTGTAACTAATATTATTTCCCTCCAACACCAAAATATGGTTTTAGATATACTTCCGTTTCTTTTTAAGAAACATTTTTAAATGCCAATTTTGCTATATGATTAACTATTGTACAGGTAGTCCTTGACTTATAGCCATTAGTTTAGCAATCACTCAAAGTTACAATGGCCTTAAAAAAAGTAATTTATGACCAGTTCTTGTGCTTGCAAACATCACAGCATTCTGATAGTCACATGATCAAAATTTGCACACTTGGCAATGATGTTGCAGTGGTCCAGGGTCACGTGATTCATTTGCAACTTTCCCAACCAGCTTCCAACAAGCAAAATCAATGAGGAAAATTAAGTTTGCTTAGCGACCACAATTGCAGTGATTTTCTTAACAACCATGGCAAAAAGGTCATCAGATTGGGTGTGCCTTGCTTAGCAATGGAAATTTTGGTTCCAGTTGTGGTCATAAGTTGAGAACTACCAGTACTTAATTTTTCAGAATGTAATCCCTTGCATTACATTGCATTGGTTCAGATAAGGTGTATTTTTTGTATACAGTTATTACATTAAGTTCTGTACTCATTATCCCAGCAAAAATGGAAATAGTCAAAAAAAGTGTAATGCATAGAATTCCCCTTTCCTGTCTAAAACTAAGCCAAACAAGGTATGGCATGAAATTCATGTTTGCATTTAATATGTTGGTTTATAAAAATGCAAACAGCATCAGCTGGGATGTATGTACCAATTAATGGATAATAGCAAGTATGGCCTGCAAATCCTTTCCTCTTCTGTTTTGGTTCTTAGAACAATCCTTATACTGGATGGTATTTGCAACTGAAGCAGAAGGGGAATTTTCTTACAGGTTTAATCCATCTTCAAAAATTTCCTTTTGGCACCTGAGCCTGGGGGGCTCTCAATTATTATTTCTACCCAACGTTCAAAGAATGAATATGGCATCATCTTGGATCGGAAGGACCAAAGCAAAGCATGAGCAGAAGAAGTGTTCCCACATAAACTATATAGCAGAGCCTTATTTATGGAGGCCAGTCTCTCACTTAAAGCTCAGCTTGGCATCAGGACTGGTATTTCAAAAAGAAATATGTGTTAATATTGAAACTGATACTTTTTAAAGAGATCAGCAACAGCCATGGCTGAAAAAATAAGGCAGAGAAGGAAGTAGGATAGAAACTTTACTCGGTATGTCTACGTCAGCTCCAATTAGAAACTGGCAACAGATGCTGATCCCTTTGGTGCTTTTTCCAGCACTCATTTCACCATCGAGAATTCCTGATGGCAGCCCTGTCCCTGAGTGTTGTGTTTGGCCTTCAAGCCAATCAGAATTGCACATCCCAGGAATTACAGTTCCATGAGGAAAAAGGGATGTACTTTCTTTGCCAGAGACTATTGGGGGTGGGAAATGTTTCACATATTCTATGGTGTCTTCTGAGATGAAAAACTGAGGGGAAATGACAGCTCTGGCTCTTCCTTTTGCAGCTAGATAGTGAACTTTGGGTTTCTTTCTGTTTGGAAATGATTCCCTCCAAATGGTTTCTTCCAACAGCATTTTTTTATCCTAAGCCTACTTGCTCTGGACCTTAATTCTAAGTAAGTAAGGTAATATTTAGTTGAGTGTAGGAAGATGTTTAAACCAGGCTTTCCTAATTTGCTTTACTTCTGCTACTTTATTATTGGCTCAAGAAATCAGAAGACATCTTTTAATCCTATATAGGGTCTTAAATCAGCTGCGTAGAACCTATGGACCATGGGCCACATATGGCCCTGGACAGCTAATAATGTAGCCCTACAAAATTGTAAATTTTTAACATTATTAAGTGATTATTAGTTATATTTTCTATGTCACCCAGGGCAATTCCTCTTCACTCAAAGTGGCCCAGGCAAGCCAAAGGTTTGGACAGCCATGCTTTAGATCAGGGGTGTCCAACCTTGGCAACTTTAAGACTTGTGGACTTCAACTCCCAGAATTCCTCAGCCAGCAAAGCTGGCTGAGGAATTCTGGGAGTTGAAGTCCACAAGTCTTAAAGTTGCCAAGGCTGGACACCCCTGCTTTAGATCAAACGCTTAGGGTCAGACTAAATTTCCAAGGACCCCTGGACATGAGTGTTCTCAGCAAATATCCTTTGTTCCTTAAAAGAGTGGTTGAAATGCAGTAACAGCTCAAAGTAGGAACAGAACTTTCAGCTTTCATGCTTGTATTTGGAAAGTTACTTTCTCTTTCTTTCAATCTTTTTAAAAAAATATAATTTCAAAGAGAGATGTATTCCCTTTCTTTCTACAGTAGTATTCCTTTGCACTGGGACTATTGGAGTACATTCACCCAATACTCTCTATCTTCAGGATTAGTTTTGAATATCACTTCCTTTTGGGAACCTAATTCTGATTCTCAAAACTTTCATTTCTGGCTCTGCAACCTCTTTTTTTCTTTTCTTTTACAGAACATCAGACAAATCTGCACATTTGATATACTAAAAAACATGACTGGAAAAATTCCCTAGCAATTTATTTCCTTTTGCATGAATGAGGGGGTGACAGAAACATTGATGCTGTGGATGTGCCCTAAAGGATACCTCTCAAAATCAAATACTGAACACTTTGGATTGTCACTGAAAGATATCACTTTGAATACACTTAAAATTGGAGCATTTGAACTGATTACTAAGATAATTTATTTTTATATTAGTTATTATCAAGTTATGATTATAAATAGATATATTTTCCTCATCACTTTTCTTGTAACCTTAAACATAGGCATTCCCAAGCACTGTAAATACCAGACCTTTGAACTGAGCAAATTGTAGGGGGAAACAAGTCCCTTTGTATTTGCATTGAAAATGGAATGAGGTATGTAAAAAAAATGTATATTTAAAATGATAGCTGCCAGTGCCCAAGCAAGAGCATTTTTGTGTTCAATGAAACAAATTCGTACTTAGATGAAAATTAAGGAACATTCTCTTAGCTAGTTATTGTGCTTCTACTTCGTTAGTTCTTGGAGGTTGAAAAAAATTGCAGGAGTGAAAAGTAAGAAGCTGGAGAGGCACCGTGTGGTTGTGTGAATGCATGAGTGTAATGCTTCTCAGAGGAGTCTTGCCCAGGGTCACCTCTATCTACTATGATGAAAAAGCTAGTGTACAGTTAGTTACCAGTCCACTTGTGATTTTTCAGTTAACTGGATGATGTTGGAACTGCCTTAAGGAACATGGGCTGCCCCAGCTTCTTCAAAAGAAGCTGTTGTGAGCATGCTGCTATTTAAGAGCCAGGCAGCATTCAAGTTTAATAAAATATTATTAATGGTGCAGTTTGAAAATTTAAAATAATTATTGCACGTTACCCTCACTGGGCACTTTTGAACTAAAGTCATTTTCTCTCAATAACTTTTAATCCCATTCACCTTATGAACAAATTAGGATGAAGAAGAAGTTAGCACAATGGTTTCCCTCCTATTTGGATAGCTAATTCCAAAAGTGGCACTGAGATGATTGTTTATTTCATGGAGATTATGAAATGGGTTCCTCCGGTCTTTATTTCCTGAGCTTTTAAATATGCATATTATTATCAATATGCTGCTGGTGACACCCAGTTCTCCTTTTCTAAAACAAATAAGGCCATTGATATTCAGAAGCAGAATAAAGAATTGATTAAAGAGCTAATAAACTAAGATTCTGTCTAGACAAAACAGCATTAAAGGATGTATCCTGAAGAAACATTTGGGCCTTCAAAAATTTATAGGTATCTCAATCTGCTCTCACCAAAGAAGGGAAGTCACAAAAGTGATGATGGCCTGTTTCTAAAATGCCTTTGTCTGGCATCTATACTGTTTTTTTTTTTTTTTAGTGCTCTCCATTGCCAGCATTGAAAAACAATTTTAGTGGTTTTAGAACTTTTTTTATGGCCTGCTTCATTAGTGTGAGTTTATAGATACATTTAATGTTACTTCCTTTTATTGTTGCTAGTGATTTTGCATTGACGATTCCTATGCTTTCTTTTATATTGTTTGGTTTTCCTTAATATGATTTCAACTGATTATTCATTGCCCTGAGAACTTCAGGGGTCAGTTTCAAACAATAATAAATAAATGAGTAAAATAAGCAAGTAAGTGCATAAATAAATTCATTATTAAATAAGTGATATTGTACTATTATATTTTATGGTTTTGATAATGCAAACTTCAACAACAAAATGTGTAGTAAGTATACCAATCAACTTTATCCTAGATCTTCAGAAATCTATATTAAGTTTGTACAGTATACACTCAAATGTAGAAATATATGTTCTCTATGTACTTATGGATCCAAACTCTCCCAAAAGTGAGACCTTGGGTCAAGTAAACATAAACATTAAGCTAGAGGGAATAAAGTATGCAATGTGGTCTTGATCCTTTGCTGTCTGTACTAGGCTTCAAACCATGTACAGTACAGAAAATTTAGTTTTTCAA